AAGATAAGATAAGATAAGATAAGACTCCCTTAATCTATCCTACTGAACTGATAAGATAAGATAAGACTCCCTACTAATCCATACTACTGAACTGATAAGATAAAAACACTGAATAGATAAGACTCCTACTAATCCCTACTACTGAAAGCAGATAAGGCAAGAATACTGAATAGATAAGATAGGATGAGAACACTAAATTGCTGCTCTGAGAACACTAAATTACTGCTGCTGCTGCCTGCGTCCACATCAATAAGTACATCTGCAATTCCAATCATTCTCGGGTGGCATATGGGTGATCCAGACAGGTGAATTGTTTTTCTTTTTTGAAGAATAAAAAGGAAATTCATTAAATTGAAAAAGATGCAGTACATCTCAAAATACTGGTTGTCTATATGACAAACCATCTTCTTAACAGAATTACACTGAAAATGAATCAAAATTACATGGATTCAATTCCAAAATATTCCAGAAGTTCTCTAACAGATCTTCCTTGTGTACTTGGTCGAACTCTGGAAGTCTTAGGGCCCAGGCAGAAATCATATTGCCCACTCCTGCTATCAGATATTCTATGTTTTTGGACTTATCTTCAAATACCCTTCTATTCCTTTCTTTCCAAATGGCCCAACACACTGCAAATGGAATACAGATCCACACGATTTTGGCTTTCTTGCTTCCTCTGATTTTAGGCCACAAGGAAAAGATTTCTGCTGATGTCACTGGATGGAAATCAGCCACTCCAAAAAGATGAGAGAAGAACTTCCACATAAAGTTTGCCACATTGCATGAGAAAAATAAGTGGAGAACTGTTTCCTCTGCCTGACTGCACATATAAAAACAATTTGCAAGCTGCAGCCTCAGGATTTCAGATGATCACTAGTTAAGATACTATCATGTGCCACCAGCCACGCAAAAGCCTCTACCCTTGGGGTTACAGGATTGCCCTACACACCCTTTATCTGATTTGAATCCCTACCATCTCTCAGCAGAACCTTGTAAAAGGATTTAACTGAGAATCGTCCTTCTTTGCAATCTTTCCACCATAAACCATCTGTTGTATCTCTGGAAATGTTAGTCTCTTCCAATTTCTCCAATAGCTGAATGCATTCTTTCACTTCTTGCTCCAATAAAGGTTTTCTAAACTTTGGATTCCAGACCACTTGCTCCTCCCTCCATTTGTAACACTGCTCAATAGGCACTTGCTGTTCTGTCAATTTATAAAGTCTAGAACATACCTCACATAATCTACCCACCTCCAACCATTCATCTTCCCAAAACCTTACCCTACAGCCTTCCCCCACTTTAAACTTAATTAAAGTTCTGAAATTTTGATTGAAGCTCATAATTCCTTTCCATACACTCACCCCATAGGAACTTCTTACCTCCCTAGATTCCCACCCGAACCTCATCACTCCATATTTCCCTACCACCACCCTTCTCCATAATGCCTCCCTTTCTCCCTCTTGCCTGAACCTGCACAGTCATTTCCCTAACAGATCTTTATTAAATAGCTTTACCCTTCTTATCCCTAAGCCTCCCCCCTCCTGTGCTCCACACACCTTCTCCCACTTAACCAGGTGGAATGTTTTTGTCCCCCCCCACCCCTTCCCGTAGAAAGTCCCGCTGGATTTTTTCCACCTTTGCAGCTACTTCTTTAGGGGCTTTCAAGAGGGAAAGGTAATATGTTGGCAGGCTTGAGAGAACACTCTTAATGAGTGTGATTCTCCCACCCAAAGAGAGGTACTTGGCTTTCCATCTGTCTAACCTCCTCTCCACCCTTTCTAATAAAGGTTTCCATATACTACTTGATGATGCCCTTGCTCCCCTACCTTACATTGCAGCACCTCTACAAACTGTCTCACTTCCTCAGTTCTTAAGTCCCCAACTCCTATCAAAAAGCTCTTCTCTAAGTTTACCTCTAGGCCAGTCAGCATCTCAAAGTTGGCTAAAATAGCTCTTAGGTTTAGGACTTGGAATGCTGAAGCGTCTAGAAATATTAGGGTATCATCAGCATATTGTAGATGAGTGATACTCATGCCTTCATTTCCAACTTTAAATCCTTCTATCCATCCCCTCTGCGTTCCTTTCTTCATGATCAAGTTAAGTGCCTCCATCACTATGACAAATAGGAAGGGGGAAAGTGGATCCCCTTGCCTCAGCCCTCTAGAGGCTTGAAAAAATTCTGATGACACACCATTCATTAACAATGAGAAGGAGGCTTAAGAAATGCATCCATATATCCAACCCCTACACACCTCCCCAAACCCCATCAACCTTGGCATTTCCTCCAAGAATCCCCATTCAACATGGTCATAAGCCTTTTCTATGTCTAGATTGCAGACAGGTGAATCTTATTTAGATGTATATGTTTAAAAATGAATTTAGATTTTCCAGGGTAATATAATCATTGTATGCTTTTGGGGAGAAGATCTATTGATAGTCCACATTCTGATACATGATAATCAAATCTACTGTAATGACTTTGATTCTCTCTGGCTATTCGCAGTGGTTCTCTCTCTATCAAAAACATCGGTTCTTGATGTTCTCTTCTACCTGTGATCTCTGATCTATGTTTTATCTTCAGCATGGAGATTTGCCCAAGGATCTCAATTGAAAACTTCATAAATTCTCCTTCAGGATTCATGCATAGTGAAATAGCAAAACAGGATTCATGTAGCTGAGCTCAGATGATGATGATAATAAGGACTACTATACAAGACTTAGGTGAGAGATGGAAGACGAGAAATTTGTGGAGGCAGCAAAGTGGAAGCGAGCGTTGAAGGTGGAAGCAAAAGAGTTCCTGTTTGAAGAAATCCGAATCAGAAGGGTGAAGAGTTTGAAGATAAGAGAAGCAAAGAAGGCTGTAGTATTGATCGAAGGACTTGAAGCTGTTGAATGGGTTAGGGACTTTGTGTTTGAAGCAGACACAAAAGGCAAGCTTTTCCAATAATTTGCAGAATGGGAACAAGTTCCAGAAAATTTTATCAAAGATGAGCTTTTCCAATATTTCTACTATACTAAGTGACCAACATGCAATCTTCTTTTCTGATGGAGGTGTTGTCTCTGACAGTCTGACTCTCTGGGTTCTTTTGGGTTTATCTGTTTTTCTAGTGAAGGTGCTTTCATTGTTACTGCAGATGGACCATGTCTGATTGGTAGAGTTGTGGATATGAAGTTTTTTTGCCATATATAAATTAAATCTATTTTGTTTTCTATGGATCACAGGGTTTTTCTAGGGTCTTCGATAAAATCTGATTCTCAGATAGCTGTATCAGTACTCCAAGGGTCTTCTAATTTCTCCTAGAAAATTCGGATCTTATGAATAATATTTTATCCTGCCTCTGTTTTTCGAACTTCAATTCTATATCTTTTTGGTATGTAAATAGTAAAGACAATATGGTGGCTCATGCTAGAGATGCCAAAACTTTTGGGGAGGATAAGTACCTCAGTTCAGCTGCTTAGCTCATAAAGGAGCCTCTATCCTTAAAGAATTAACCCGAAAAAAATTTTAAAATATCCTTTGCTTATTTTTTAAGCAAATTTTGCTGGAGCCTCTATCCCTAAAGAACTGAACTTTAGGCTGCGAACCAAGTAATATGGAGAAAAATGATTTCCTTCGAAATTATATTTAGTAAGAACTAAGGATTTGGAAAACAAATTATTCCCTAAATTTTGTTGTTTTACTCGACTCGGCTGATGTATCAGCATCCCCCCTAAATATAATTTGGATTAGCTGAACATGATAGCTGTTCTGGAGGCTGTGGAAGCAATGGTAATGCCCCACGCCTGCAGCATGGAGAGTTTTTACCAGTAGCTGCTAGACGGTTTGGATTGTCCACACCCAGAGAGTGTCCAAATTGTGCCATCTCCTTTGTTTTTACCAATTTTTTTGGATGGTGTTGCTTAGACAATTATTACAATTCACTGATCATCAATAGGGGTCTGGAATCGGAATCTGAATGGTCCAACTGTTTGGTTGGAAGAATAAGAATCTCATTCTCATTCCTGGTAGAATAACATTCCCCATTTAAGGGAATGGCCATTCCCTCACCCTCCTTTGGCCATTCCAGTTCCCGTCTGAATCAAACAGGTAGGAGTAATAGGCCATTCCCAGTTGATTCTGGTGCATTTTGATTCCAATTTCAATTCCAACTCCGACTGCGAACCAAATTGACTCTAAATAAGTAGTGGATGAAATCAATTGCTTATGATTTGAATTAGTGGATGAAATCAAGGGGAGGTTTAGTGGTGCATAGCACCTAATACCAAAAAAAAGTTTCTTAATTCTAAACTTTAAGCATAATTAATTTATTCAAATAATGCAGGTCTCATTGTCCACATGAGACAACAAATCCTAATGACTTGGGACATGCAACTTTGAATTGCATTTCCCATGCACTAACTAATTGACAAGAAAGGAAAAAATAAAAAATGAAATACATGTTTTTGAATCAAGACGTCGCTGACAAACTACTCTGAAACCCATTTTCCAGATCATGGTTGAGAGAAGTCACTAGCACGCTCATACTTGGACCTGAGAAAACAATTGCCACAAAGATGTTAGCTTTCTTTTCTTCTCCTTTTCTTTTTCTCTTTTAGTTTCTTGAGTTATTGACAATTGGGTTCATAGTTACCAAGAAACGCTTTTTGTATATTTCAACAAGCTCCTCAGGATCACGTTGGGTTTGTTTGTAGGCCTCAATCTTGTTCATCTCCTGCAACATCACCTACTTCTTTTATTAATGCAATGGCTACAGATTAGAATTGATAAAATTACATTTCTTTACAATAGATTATATCTGAAGGACTTGGTCAAAAATAATAAATACGTAAAATGAAGGTCATTGACAGCAAATGGAAGGACCGAAGGAGCTAATTGGTTTAAAACAGAGTGCCTTTATCAGAAGAAAGGCTGTCTGAGAAGGGAATGGTTTAGGCTACAGGCTCTATACATTAACAAGAAATGTAGCTCTGAATAAAATAGAATGGTTAGTGTGCACCACTAACCAGGAACTGTTTGGGCTTTCAAAAGAAAAAAAAAAAAAAAAGAAAACAGAAAGCTGTTGGGACAATTAATTCCTTTACCTCAATCCAAGCTGCCAGTTTAGGCCTTCCTGTGGTGATATCATATTTCTTTACTTGCAGTATGAATGGGCGAAATCTTTCAATAAATGGAGCATAGGCAATATCCACCTGCATATATTTTCACTTGTGAATTGAACCAGAATGCCACAAGAAATCAAGGATAGAAACATGGCTCCATATATTCAACTGTATACTTACCAGACTGAATTGGCCAAGGAAGAATGGGCCATCATCAAATTTGGAAAGTGTGTCTTCTAAGTGATCAAGAGCAGCCCCTGAAGCAGATTCATGAATGCATTCAGAGTCAGCCTAAAGTTAATGCATATAGGATGATTTAGTGGCATATTAAAATCTTACCAACTGCTTTTTCAGCTTCTTCCTTGAATGATGTAAACACAGTTTTGTTGAATGTGTCGGTGTAGGAAAGCAACTCTTCAGCAAACTCTCTTTTGGTTGGATCCTAGAATGTTGTTTTTGAATTAAATTTTGAGATTAAATGGAAGAAGACTCCATTTACAGTACAAATTAAGTAATGTTTCTGCATCTTACATTGGGGAAAAGGGAGGGTCCTTTAAAGTGGGTGTCAAGATATTTCATCAACTCAATGCTCTCTCCTCTGACTTGGTTATTGTGTTCCAATGATGGCACCTAGAAAATGCAAATCTCAGTTAGCATTTTCTCTTCATTTGAGCTAATAATGCAGTTCATTATGTATCAGCAAGATTTATTGGGAGGAGCCAATTATATTAGCATTCTGGTTTGAAAGAGTATTACACCTTGTTTTCAGGGTAGACTTTCTCTTTGTACCAGGTAGGCCTATTCTGTAAATCAATAGGAACCAACTGTATTTTGCTCTGCAAACACTGCTTCTCAAAGAATTCAAAATAAAATATTAGCCAAACAAGACCGAAAAAAATCAGAGAATTCTTTTTCAGAAATGAATATCAACAGAGAGAGAGAGATGAGTACAACCTTACAGTTTCTAGTAATCCAGACACGTTGTGAATAGGGGCATGTGTAAGATACATACAATCTTCAAGAAAGAAAACCAGCATCAATGATTTTGTCAACAAATTCCAGGATAAATTAACAGCTTGTATGCGAGCTAGACACAGACACAGACCTCGTTGTTCCGTCGAACAAAGGTGGGAGGGAAGTAGAATCGAGAACAGTGGGAAGAACCTCCTGAACGCTTCTGAAACCAAGAAAAGGGAACATAGGCACCGTCATTAATTTAGCCGCCCAACTGGCATCAATAAGAACCGAAACAGATGGAGGATAAAAAACAAAGTTTCTTAGTCTAACCCAATCGCCATTGTTGGTGTTTGTTGAGCTCTGGTTTTCTTCGATAAAAAGAGAGAGGATGTGGAGTAAGAATATGATCGCTGCAAATTGCCAAGAGAAGACTCTCGGATTGATGAGGAGAGAGGAGAGAGGAGAGCGGGATTCTTATATATAGCAGTCGTCGCTGATGGAGACGTCACGAATGACGAATTATAGTAATGGTTCTTCATTTACAGTTAAGACTGGTCATGGCATATTTTGTTCGTTCAATGTTCAAATCCGATATTGAAGTCTGAAAATTCCAAGTCTCATACTCAGAGGAGAATGACGAGACGACCTTGGCGATGGATGACGGGGCTAACTTGAAATCCGATGTAAAACCGGCGGGCGTCATAATCACATGTAGCCAGATTCATGCGTTGCAGGGGGGACCTCAAGGTTCATTGTCTACCTTGATTAAAATATAGACCGTTGAATGGGTATTAGTGATGTAAATCAACGAATTAAAATGAGGGAAGGACGGACGGAGACCGGTCCATCGTTTGAATCAACAGACGAGGGTTTTCTTCCACTTCCAGCCAACCTTTTCATGCTTCCTACTTCCTAGATCAATGGGGAAGAAGAAGATGGAAAAGTAATTCTAACCGTTGGATCCGAATCCTCTCTAGTGGGCGGCATGTGGTTTTGCGTGGGTTCTAGTCTTAAAGATTCAATTCACACCACGATAACAAGGTCGCATGCTTTGAAATCAAACATATCCCTGATGCCGGGCCACAGAATTGGACGGTCCCTGTTGGCGTATCCACATGCCACGTGTTGACTTTATATATATATATATATATATTTAAGAAGCCCTGTGAAATTTCATTCAACTTTGCTCCGAGATAGAGGGCTTGTCCTTTAGGCTGTGTTTGGTTGCAGTGCAATTTTATTTGCATGGGAGTGCAAATGTAAACAATGCAAATTTTTGTTTAATTTTGTTTTAGATTTTATTTTATTCTGTTTCATGTCTTAATTTATTTCATTTGTACTGCAATTAAACAAAATATACTAAAATTTGAAACAAAAATAGGTCAAAATCTACAGTCAAATCATTTGCATTGCCATGGTTTTGCATTAGTGCAAATTTATTTGCATTGCAATCGAAAACAATTTTAAGCTTAGTTTGGAAGGAATCAAATACAAATATGTAGAGTGCAAAACCTTGTATTTTGTATTATTTTGTATGTATTTATATTATACATATTTCTATTTGTATTCCTTCCAAATTGAGTCTTACAAAAATAAGTGATAGAAAATCAGGTAATGTAATCCAAGTAGAAGTGGATATTATTATTATTATTATTATTATTATTATTATTATTATTATATAAAATACATTTACACTTTCTCAAACATAATCACTTATTGCTATTATGTGATTTGGTTTATGGTATAACTAGCATGGACCCGTGCAATGCACAGGTTTTGTTAAGCAAAAGCGAACGTTAAACAATAGAAATACATAGGAGTATATAACTGTTTTATATTTTAATTTTTAATAACCAATTCGATCGAATTCGACCCGAGTTGGCCGGTTTACTAGTATTTCTAATCAGTTTTGGTTTAGCAATTTTCTAACTCGACCAAGTTAGGTAAGTTTCGATTTGGCCATTAGTAAACCGACCAAAACTGAACTTAACCGACCATAGATATACATTAATATTTTATATTTTAAATATAATTTTCTTAATATAGAAAAGTGGGAAATTCCCATATTTCTCAGTCTAAAATATTTTATATCAAAAAATTAATTTTCTTAGTAATACCACTATAATTTATTAAATTTAAATTTAATTTTTTAAGTTTAAACCTTTTGAACAAGCAAACCAAACCAGAAATAGACCCAAACTAATACAACCCGAGTTGGTAGGTTTTCACTAATGGTCAATCGTTTCGGGTGACAAACTCCTAACCTAACCTAACCAAATCATTTTGGTTGGCAAAACAGCTTGCAACTGAATCTCTAATGAAAAATTCAAAAAAACATGAAATTAGGAAGGGGGTTTGGAGAAAGGAGAGGCATGGTGACATGGACCGTTTTGCTATATAGATAGATAGATTTGGTTTATAGAATTCAGAAAATCAAACCAAACCAGAAAATTTTCAGGCCAAACCAAACTAAATTGTCAGTTTCAATTTGATTTAGTGTGATTTGAGGTCTGAAACACATAATGAACACCATTATCAGTATGCCAAGCTAAACAAGTGCACCTCATAACTGCATAAGGAGTACAAAGACATCCAAGGTTCAAAGTATCAATATGCCCCTATGTATCGGCAGGGGCATATTGGTACACAAAAACAACTGCTTAATTTTTTTTTAATTTTTTTTTTCAAAACTTGATTTTTGAAAATGTTTTTTAAGTCTTTTTTTATTGAAATTAATGGGGCCCCGAAACACCTGTAAATAGGTGTATCGAGACCAAAAGATACGATACGATATGCCCGATACAGGGCGTATCGTATCATACTTTGAACCTTGAAGACATCTTGAAAATAAAAAATACAAATACACATACAAATCCACAAAAAATACAATGATGAAACATGCATCGTATTTGTATATACATCATCCAGAACCACGCATCCAAAGCACAGTAGTGTGTGTATATATAAAGTTACTCTTCCTATCTCTCCATATTCTAGTTATGGTAATGGCATAGTAGGGGTGATCATTTCAGCCCAGCCTGGCCTGGCCCGAAAATTCCGGGTTTGGGCTTGTGTTTTGTGTTTAGGCCTAGCTCGGGCCTAGGTCTACATCAGGCCCGCAAATTTTAGGGCTAGGCTTGGGCTTAATACTTCAAGCCCGGCCCAACCCATATATATTTAAACTTAAACGTTTTGTGTATAATGTATACATATAATTTTACATTATATTATATATTTTATATATAAATATTATAACATGACATGTATAATTTATATTATATGTAATATTTTATATTATATAATGTATAAAATAAATTTATATGCATGTTATGTCATTTAATATAAAATATTATAGATATATAATGTTTTATATATGAAAGACATTGGCCCAAAATCAAGCCTGGCCCGGCCCGAGCTTGTATAGACCTGGGCTAGGGCTTATGTTTCAGGCCCAGAACCCTGGGCTGGGCTAGGCCCGAACCTAATCTATAGCCCTTATCATAAGTGCAAAGCCCGGCTCGGGCGCAGCCCATGATCACCCCTAGGGCATAGGATTTGATTATATCATATGTAAGATTAGATGCGGGCCTGGATTTCCTCCCCACAAAACTTTGCACTCACCCATACATTAGGAACATTTCCCCATGAATTTAACACACATGTACAGGAGATATTCCAAATGTGTGGTTGGATGCTGATGGAGGTAAATTTGACCCGACCTATTGACCACCCGACATGTGGAAGCATCCAATGGTGACCTGGCAGGAACGACAGCTCGACACGGTAGTGCTCAAGGCGCGAGCTTCAAGAAGATGAACCCCGAGCTCCCCCAAGAGGGACCTGTGACCCGAGCTCCCCAAAAGAAGCCCGAACTCTCCCCTTGGTCCTAAACCTTGCATGGAGCACAAAGGGCCACAACCCGAACTAGCCCACCCCAGGGCAGTTCGGGCCACACTTCTATCCGAACTCAAGACTTTACCTCGCGCACCACTCCGGCACTTCGTCTCCTGGCCACCGAACTGAACCACCGTACTTGACACCAGAGTCCGTATCCTAAGGCGGCGCACCAGACTGACTTGGGATCTGACGCTTGACAGCCGCACTTCAACGGCCACCTGCCACCGCCACCTCCAGTTACAGAGATGACTCCGACAAAGAGAGCAGTGGCGGTTGCCAGCCTCAATAGAGGTGACGACACCCGAACTGGCAGAAGTGCAGAGGTGACGACACCCGAACTAGCAGAAGTGCAGAGGTAATGATACCAGACCTGACAGGAGCTTGGGAGTGAGTGCGCGAAGTGGTTATAAAAGGCCCTCTTCCCCCCGAGAATGAAGGTAGGTGATAACTTTGCGCTATCTGGTTTTGATCTTGCCTTTGAGAAAATACTAACTTGAGCTTCGGAGCACTCTCACCGGGTTCCTCCCCGGAGACTCCTCGCTTTCTTCCCCATTTCAGGCACCTGTTGCTCCAGTCAGAGGCAAGGTCGTTGACAACTAGGACCGACCGGATTGTGCTGCATCATTTGGCGCCGTCTGTGGGAAGACGCTTCTAAAAGCCTCCCTCTAAAACTTTCGTAGCACCTTCTGACCAAGAAACTCCAACACCTATGGCTTCTTCCAGCAATGTCGGACGTAGCACGGAGATGAACGCCACCGGGGAACAACTTCAAGTCCCCGCGGTATGCGTCAGACAGTTCACCATCCCCCTTTCGGTGGATGGGATCCCCAGCCTGAGTGCGCCGCGAACAATGGCGCCCATGAATCTTCCCTCCGTGAACGTCCCCCTTCCTCCCTCTGTTGGAACCACCTTTGCTGAACCTACCATTGTTCCCCTAGCAACTAGCCAGAACCAATTTGATGAACTGATGCATGGCATGCAGGCCATCCAAGCCCAGATGCAGCAGCTTCAACAATAGCAAATCCACCAGTAGTAGATGTTGCACCATGTCTCCCAGTACCACTACTAGCAGCAGTTCCCCCAACTGCTTCAAAGTTAGCCGCAACTCCCACCTCGGCGCCCCACCGTTAGGCGAGCCAAGCCCTCCTCTCAA